CGGGAGCCCCGTTCGCAGCCGCCGCGCCCAGCGCACGGGCACCCACCCCTCCTCGCGCCCCGACACGAGGCCGCCGGCAGCGCCTACCGTGCCGGCCGCGGCGCGCGGGCCCCGGCCGGGCCGACCCTTGCTGGGCACCATGAGCACGAGCCTCCCGGCGGCGCCGCCTCGCGCTGTCCCCGGCAGAGCCGCGCGCCGCTGCCGCCCCTGTCGGAAATAGCTCCGCCGTTACCGTAGCAACCGCTGCTTCCGGCCCGCGGCGCGTCCCCGCCGCGCCCGCTCCCGCGGGCTTCGTGAGCGCGGAGGGGCGGGAGCGGCGGGAATGGCGGCAGGAGAGGACGGGGCCGTCCCGCTGCCCGCGGGGCAGGACGGGGCGCGCGGCCTGCCACGCACCAGGGAGCGGCCCCTCCCCGCTCCCGCGGCCCTCAACGTGGCGGCCGTTAGGGCGTGGCCGCCTCGTGCCGCCCTTAGCGCCGCGGCCGTTAGGGCGTGGCTGCCTCGTGCCGCCCCGGGGCCCGCGGCCGTCGGGGCGTGGCCGCCCGTTCCCTGCCGCGGAGCAGGAGGGAGAGCCCCCAAATCTCTGCTCTTTTTTGCTTCTTAGCCTAAAGCGRTGGTTGAGGCTGCTTTATCCTGCCGAAATTGCACCCTGGGGCTTTTCAAAGCACATCTAAATAGAGCTCTTGGTGATGCTGGTTGTGAAGCCAGCTACAAGAATAGGAGGGGAAAAAATTCAAGTCTTCCTCCAAACATTTACCCTGGCAGGGCTCAGTCGAAAGGCTGTTTATGTTGGCTCCTCTCACGGCTGGTGGGTGGGATGGCTCCCGTGATGCGCTCACTGGCACAGAGAGGCTTTCACACTGTGGCTTCAGAGGGCTGAGCTGCCAGGCAACCTTCTCCCCAGGCAGATGCTCCCCAGGGGAAGGCACAAAGGTTTTAAGAGTGGCTTGTGGAAGGTCAAAGCTAAGTGTCATCACAAATAGCTGCATTTCCCTGGTCTGCAAGTAATTCATTCTTCTGGCATGTTTTCACATTCCAGGAGCATGATAGAGGCTCAGAAAACACAGAAAGCACGGAAACTACAATATTTATTAGTTTTTCTTTTGAGGTAAAATGGTAATAAAAATACAGTAATACCATCAGATTTTTCAGAAATCTAAATTTAAGAGGGTATGCAGGAAAACCTGTGAAATGGCAAGAAGGTGGACACGGCCTCCGAGTTCCCCATCCACTACCTGTATTGGGGAGATACCTGGATACAGTGGTAAGGGCTGCAGCTGTCAAGCTAGATAACTTCTAAAGAGGGCTCAAAAGGCCRTTAAAGGTTAAACATGCAGGAGGAGTCATGAGGTCAATTCAAATATGTCCCTCCAAATCTTTGTGTTGGTTGTAGCATGAGCAGAACAAGCTTGTGCCTTTACAAGGAGGGACCCCTGCACGGAGTCCTCCTCAAATGCCTCTTCATGTTTCTGTGTCCCCTAAGGCCAGCAGCAGACCTGTGCCTTACCCAGGGCTTCTTATTACAGCGCCCCACTGCCCTAGCAGAGGGTACAGATGTGGTTAGTGATGCCTGAGAGCCTGTTTCACAAACAAAATGTTCCCTCGCTTAAGGCACGCTGAAAACCAAGCCAAAGCCCTCGAGGCAAGGCAGCGGTTCTGGGAGGTTTTGGTGCCAGCACATCTGACTCATGAGGACTGTTTGTTACAGTGATGAGAATAGCAACCGGCCTGGGCAGAGCCTACATTTTTCCCAATCCAGATTTTTAGATCAAAATACTGAAACAACACATGGAAGTGCAGATGAACACAGGCATGCAGACACGGCAGCCGCTTGGGGACACAGCCTTCCCGGCACAGTGCGAGGGGAAGCCTGGARGGACCCTCCCCGGTCGGGTCAGCGCGGGGCAGGCTCTGCTGGCGGCGGGGGGGCCGGGGCCCGCGCTCAGCGCCGCGCGGAGCCCGCCCCGCTCCGGATCCAGCTCCGGATCCAGCTCCGGCGCCGAGGCGGGGCCGGCCGCGGGGGAGCCGCCCCGCGCCAGCCGCGCGGAAGCGGCGGCGGCCCCGGCCATGGCGCAGCCGCGGGCGGGCAGCGGCAGCGACGGGGACGGCGGGCGCGGCGGCAGGTCCAGGTGAGGCCGCGCGCGGGGCCGGCGCCGCTGCGGCGCGGGCGGGAGCGCCGCACGGAGCCCCCTCTCAGCCCGTAGTCCCGACTGAGGACAAGTCAGACACGGGCGAGCGCTCGCTTTAGAGCTCTGGAAGGAAGCAGGCTGGTCACGAATCAAAACTTCTTTAAATTAAATTAACTGCTTTAAATGCAGAAATTACTACTGCCTACCTCTTACTCTGCTGCTTGATAATGCCATGAATGTTCCGTACCTAATGGTAAATTGTGGGAATTGTTACCAATGCCTGAAGCTCCTTGGCCGCCAGCCAGGGCATCTGTAAAAGAAYATCCAGGACTTTGCATCAGAAAGCTGCAGCGTATACGGTTAGTTGTGGTTTTGGGCTCTCTCCTAAAGCTGCAGATGATGCARCACAGCACATGCAAACAGAAAAAGGTTCAGCTAGAGTAGCATAAAGTTCAGTATTTTGTTCAAAGAACAATTATTTCAAACTTACTCTCTTTTAATATCCTAACACGTGCATTAGAATGAACTGCAAAGCRTTATTTCAATTACAGAGGTACATTCTGGGGGGATTTTCTACAGTTACCAAGGCAGTCAACTAGACTGTTGTGTAAACAGGAGGCGAGCATAGCGAACATAACAAAGTCCTTAACCTCAGCCTTCCCACAATCACACCRTTACTGTCTTCTTGCAAATCAGATGTGTACAACACTGTGTACACAATGTGTACAACAGTCTACAGCACTGTGTTCTACTTCAGTGATTTCTTAAATTCAAAATATGTTTTGTTTATCTTGATGATGATGATGATAGCTTCTGTTTGATGTTCCTTGCCTGTTGAAGAAGCAGGGGCTGCAGGTGGGTGCCCAGGCTGTGGCAGTGAGGGCTGAGCGCCAGGCAGCCCCGCAGGGCTCTCCCGTCAGGGACAAGGCAGGGTCATCCTTCAGCTCTCCCAGGCACTCCTGTGTTTCCTGTGGCTTCCAAGAGCACAAGATTTCAATAGACAGTTAATTTCTGGGAAGATAGGCCAGTCTTGGCCTCTAGGGTTTCAGTGAAAGTGCTAAAAATACTGTACTTGTGGTATACACACAGGTCTGCCAAAATCCACCATTTGATGTTTCTTCTTTTAGTGAGGCATTAGTAATGCAGATTTTCTGTTTAGTTTTTTCCATGTCAGTATTTCAGGCCTCTTCTGGATGGGGAACAGGCTATTTACAACAACTCAACCTCCAGCAAGAACTCAATATAGATCAGCATTGTCAAAGAACATTTCTTGAAGGTAAAACCTGCTATAGAGGCTTAAATAAGTGGCATTTGAGAGTTAGTCAGTTCACATCTTTCATCTGTTAAAYCAAGAACAAAGTTACGCTATTAGATTGGAAGTGACCAGTAAGAAGTGCTACAGTCCTCTCAACTGTGGCGTTGTTCCTTTTTAAACCTCTTGATGCTGGTTCATGATACCAAACATGTTCAGACGCTCAGGAAATCATCATCACACATCAAGTTAGAATATTCCTTGTTCAAGGCAGTACTTGAGAAACACAAAAATCTTAAGTCTAAGAGCTTCAGATTGGAAAGCAAATTGCTCTCCCAGCAGCTTTGTGTATCAGCACGTGCCTGAGCACCTGCGGCTCATGTTTTGGTGCCAGATGRCGTCGGCAGAGGGGCTGCAAGATGCTCATGTATGTGATTCATTGTTCTATGCTAAGATCAGCTCTTGGAAAGAGCTCAGGCATCTGATTCCTGAGGCTGACTGGAGAGCTTCGTCCTCTCAGCTGGCGTCACGTGGAGATGACTGTGTCTATTCAGTGCCTATGTGTAAAATAAGTTGAAGTCAACACTGGGATTAAGCCCATTCATTTTGAGATTTTTTTTTTTTTTTTTTTTTTTTTTTTTGGCATCCAAGGCTTTGCTGCTTTGCTGCAGTGTTAATAAAATGGTTTGACTCTTTTCCAGTGGTGGAGAAAATGATGATGATTCTGACCAGAACTGGAAACCTCCAGAAAATGACCTGATCCAGAAGTTAATAGCACAGATTGAATACTACTTCTCAGATGAGAACCTTGAGAAAGATGCCTTCCTCCTAAAGCATGTGAGAAGAAATAAGATGGGCTACGTCAGTGTTAAGCTCCTCACTTCTTTTAAGAATGTAAGTTAAGTTATAAAAACTTTTGGTACCTTGTATAAATCTAATTCAGTTCAGAAATTTAGAAGGCATGAAAATTATCTGCTTCTCTGAGTTGATGCAGTTTTGAGGTGATGGCTTGTTTTTCTAGAACTTAATTTTCTAAACTCTTTTGTGACTAAGGAAATCATAAACTTTAAAGTGACTACATTTTTAAATAATTTTGGGAATTATTTAGTCAGAAGGAATCTTTTCCTCTGAGGATGGATGGTGAATTTGATAGCCCTTGCAAATGTATGGAGATCTAAAAACAAAAATAGTAGAAAGTATCTGGCAACAGAAGTCATAACATCTCAGGATCTGCAGGGGTTTACTGTAATTTGTATAAAGGGTTAATTTAAGATGAAACTGAAATTTAAGAAATAAATTAAGAATTAAATTTACTATTTTTACAGAGTAAATAGTTAAGATTAACTGTTCTCCTTAAATTCTATTTTAAAGGTGAAACAACTTACTCGTGACTGGAGAACTACAGCGTATGCACTCAAGTACTCGGACACTCTTGAGCTCAGTGAAGATAACAGAAAGGTTAGAAGAAATACTCCAGTTCCAGTGTTTCCAAGTGAAAGCCACCCTACCAAGATGTTACTGGTATATGACATCCACCAGGCTCTCAACAAAGAGCATGAAAATGGATTTATGCAAGAAAAGATAATGGAGCATCTCCTCAAAGCCTTTGTAACGTTTGGTGTAATTTCATCTGTTCGTGTTCTCAARCCCGGTAGGGATCTACCAGCTGATATCAAGAGGTTCAGCAGTCGGTACAACCAGATAGGAACACAGGAATGCGCAATTATAGAATTTGAAGAAATCGATGCTGCCATACATGCTCATGACTTCATGTGTGCTGCAAAGAGAGAGACTGACATGAAAGTTGTCCTAATAGGCATGAAGCCTCCAAAGAAAAAAGTTCCCAAAGATAAGAATCGTTGTGAAGTTTCCACCAAGAGTCACAACAAGGTTAAATCCCTTAACAAGAGAGTTGAGGAGCTTCAGTTTGTTGGTGATGAATCTTCAGCGAATAGCTCTTCTGACCCAGAGAGTAATCCTACATCACCGCTGTCAGGACGTAAAAGTACAGCAACAAGTACCACAAATAAATTAAGTCCTATTATTCATCCAAACAACCATCTGAGTCCTAATGTGTCACCCAGATCAAGTCCTTGGAATAGTCCGTCTTCACTAAGAAAAGCGACCAAAAAGTCTCCGCTTGCTGAAGACAACAAGCTTAACCCAAGCGCTAGCCCTGAAATTCCAAGGAAAAGCACGGATTATTCTTCAGATAGCAGCATCACTCCTTCTAGCAGCCCTTGGGTACAGAGAAGAAGACAAGGTCAAACTGTAGCACAAGAGAAGAGTCCAGCGAGTAGCCCCATGCTTGCTCGCAAAATACAAAACGCGGATGGTCTTCCCGTAGGGGTGCTGCGGCTACCCAAAGGGCCTGATGGCACTAAAGGATTCCATTGTGCGTGTGAAAGAAGGAAAGTTGTGACRAATGAAGCTGTGAAGAATGTTCTTTAAAAACAGTTCTGTAAGCCAAATGGCTGCTTTTGTTCAAGCCTGGTGGAAGACTGTCAACTGACAGAATTAAATCTGTATTTATTTTTAAACATTTTTGTATTCCTGCAGAAACTTTATCATTAGTGTATTAATTAACTGCATTTTTTATGTATTAGTTGGAAATGCCTAGGCACTGAAACAGGCATCTAAAGCCATTCATGTAACTACATTATTTGTAAGCTATGACCCTGAAGAGTAGGGCGTAGACACTGTTTAGCAGTTGTATTTTGATAACTATGGTATGTTACCAGTCTAATCCTAAGGAATAAGGACTTGATGGCTTATGTTACAGAGAGTAGTTCCTCTCGCCTTGCATTTATCTCCAAAGACACTAGCTATGATTTCCAGGACCAAAGCGTGTGTTTTCCTGTGATGTGTATAAGGATGATGAGCATTGAAGACTGTTCTGTAGGTTTTTAACTTAAAATCAGAGGAAATAAACTATTAACTCTGTCTAAATCTGTTTCTTTTACCTTATAAAAAAAGTTGCACCGGAACAGACACCTAAACCAGATCTATCTATTCTGTGAATCTATACCATATAAAATTCTAATTGTTACTAAATTTACAGCACACTCAGAAAAAGAATAGATTGAAACATGCTCTGCCCCACTGTGGATTGTTATTTCAGTGGTGATACTTCACTCTCTTGTAGACTATATGGCTGAGGCATTTTCATACAACATTGTAAACTAAACAATGGTGATCTCACATTAGCCCCAAATTTAACAACAAGACTCAAWAATAAATGCTTAAATTAAAATGATCTTATCTGACACCTAAGAAGGTACCTTTKCAGTTTTATTTAGCAAACTGTACTCCTGGAAAAGAGCTACTAATTGACAATTTGAAGCATGCAAGCCATAGTTCTGGTCAGGTTCTTCTTCATTCTACTCTACATGTTTCCAACTTTCATTTCTATTTTAAGCACACTCTTCTGCAGTGGAAACAGTTGCAGCAACACAAGGTTAGCAACCAGTRCTGTGCACAAAAAGACATCACTCCCGATGAATCATTCCCTTGCCAGGCAGATTCCTAGTTCTTTTTCTTGACACAAAGGAAATCCACACATTATCCCCCGATTTCCACTACTGGTAGAGACACTATAAATACAGATACTGTTAATTTCAGCCTTTCTATCAGATGCAGGAGATCTGATCTGCAGGCATCCAAGTGACAGGTGAGGACGACAGTCTTCTGAGGACTGATGCCCTGGCTCTACGTTACGCTCTACAGCATCATCTCAGGAGGTATCCAGACCCTTTCCTTTTTTCTTCTTTATAAGGAACACCCTTGTCTATTAGTAATATATACAAATACACACTGATTTTATATATTAGGAAAACACCACATTTGTYATTCTGGCATTTTATGATAAATTGATACAAGCTAATCTTTTCCTTTGCAAAAGTACTCTCCTGTCTTTGTGAGAACTAAAAAAAATCCTARTTGAGGTGGTGTCACCAAGTACCCTTCTGATCACCAGCAGCCCTCTCCTGCTTAGCAGCTCCTCCTCCTGCCTGGGCCTGTTCTGCTGCTCTACCCCTCACAGGCTCATGGAACTGAGGACATTGTGAAGTCGCTGCTTTAAACCAGTTGCACCAAGAACAACTAAAACCCATCCTTGGTTCAGTCACAACATGAACAGTTCACAGCTATTTGTAATTAATCAAGTAAGTCTGCTTTTTAATTAGGGGCAAAAATATGTATTACTGTTTTATAAGGTAATGTTTTAATCCCAGTTTTCTGCGATATGAAACAAATGAGGTTCTTACACTGTTCACATGTTCTAGAAGCAGAGGGACTTTCTGTTYAGACAAAAAGGGACAAGTAAAATGAATGCTGAAGTCCAAGACATCATACCAAGATGTGCTACCACATCAGGTAAAGCTTAACTCATTGTAGGGCAACCCAGCACACTACACAGATTTCAATATGTACCTTACAATATATTTTGTTTAAAATTATTTCAATTACGAAGTGAGTCTTAGCATAGCAACTATACTATTTTTGTTAAAAAAAAACACAAGATTAAAATGTCTAAGATATAATAAAGACACTAAGTGAAAAAAATAACTCCTTTGTGTACTAAAAATTACTACACTAACAGTTTGTTAGAATTATAAATTGGAATTGATATAATTGTATTTAGGGAGCCCAAACTATGCAAGTTTTTTTGAAAAATAACAAAACAAAATGAAACTGTACTGCATGCTCCATTAACAATTTCCAACCTTTGTATCCATGAAAATTACAGAATAGTTGTGTAAAGGCTGCAGAATTTACACTTAAATGGTATTCACTGCAAAAACATTTCCTTTTTTCAGCCAATAGTCCCSTAGTGGACAGAAAACAACTGAGCTATATCAAAGTCATAGACACCATCAAGCCCTGGAGAACTGCCGGGAAACCTTTCGGTAAGAAGCACTTGCTGCTTTACCCTGCAGTGGATCCTGCCTGCAYGTACTTTAAAACTCTCTCAGAGTTTAGTGCAAGGATGTCCCTTGTTGCAAGAGAGTTAGTGCAACATGACCACAACAGGATGAGGATACTATTTTCAGAAAAAGTTAATTTTCATTCATAGACTTGCTTTCTACATCACGTACCTGGTTTAGAAAATTTATCTTCATTATAAAACTGATCTAGGAGCTTTTCAGGGAGGTAATTTTGCTACCATCAAGATTTTAGCACTTTATACAGCAATGAAGAATATCATTGCAATACAAACAAATAAAATTACTGTGTGGTCAAATACACCACATAGCTTATTAAAGCAAATGACTAGGTAACCCTTTCAATCCAGCTTTCCAGTAGTTAAATGTATTAGGAATCTGATGACAGTTGTGAGTGCTTTATGAACTTTAGTCAAGCTCTCATTCTGGAAACAGAAATGGAGTAATTAATTATACATTAAAATTAATTTTAGAACAAAAACTCTAATTCTGTTACCTTTATGTCCTCAATTTTGTATTTCACTGGTTATAGGTAGKGCAAATTGTATATTAGTTAAAATGTGTAAGTGAAAGGATTATGATTGGTGGCTACCCAGGATATTAAAATAGATCCATACTGTATAATGATTTCATGAACAATTTTAAGCTATACATGTCCTTTTTTTAATACAAATACTAATAACTGAAAGTGTGCGTTTACTCTTTACTTGCCTTTTTATTTCCATTAGTGAAAATAATGGCAAGAATTCTACCCAATAACGTAAAGGCTTGTTTAGAACATGATTTCTTGGATTCCTCACTTTAGTAATTAGGAGAGCTAAATGTACTAGAATTCAGTAGTAAATACACTATGAGCTGGTAGTTACGCTAAACTCACACTGACAAACTACAAGGGGGACTAAGGAGGGGCTGAACTAAGGATCCCAAAGATAATTCATATAGTACACTTTCAAAAAGGAGAATGGTCTCACAGTTATGATGCAACAGTAGCTGATACCTGATTTATGCTTTCCACAGTGTGTGACCGATTTTCTCTTTGGGCAAGTTAGAGARTGGGCAGAAGAAACCTGCAATGCTGCTGAACATCTCCAGCTCCTGCTTTCTTTGTTCTACCAGTCTGCTGCTGCACTTCATGGACAGCTGGCTGAGTTTCACCGGCAGATCAAAAGCTAAGCTACATAAAGAAAAGATATTTCAGTCAGTCCAAGCAAAGAGGTTTTGATTTGTAATTCACAGAAGATACTTCAAAAAGTTAATAGTCAAAATACTTAATATAGGAAAAGTACGATTAGAATGGAGTTAGGAGCACAGCAGTTAGATTGACATTGTCACTTCTTTGGAGTTGGGGACCTATCACAGCCCATTTTTAGTCATATTTTCTTATATTAGCAGTTGCACTTTTCAACCTCCCTGTGACTTCAGAGCTCTGCAGGCTGGAGGAGCCAGAGCTGAATGACAGCTCGTTCTTGCTATCTTATAGAGTGATCTGAAAGCAGATAAAAGAGAACAGTTAAATGCTTACCTGGGACATTGGAGTGCACTGCTCATCCCAGTCATCTGCTTCTTTAAGGAAATGACAGCAAAGCGACCCCTTTCCTCCAGCTGCTGCTAGGAAGTCCTATTATTCAAAACTCTCCTCCAACGAGGCATTAAAGTTGTTGACAGGGAGAGATCCACTGTGCACAACCAAATTACATGGCACTTAAAAGCATTTCTATAATTCCCCATATCTACATACTAATATGCTAAAACGATGATCTATATTTTTACTAGATTACTATATTTTTCCTTTGTCTTCAGATACTTACATAGGTAAAGTAACATGTTTTGATACTTTWAAAGGGAAAGTGGCATTCAAATGAATTACTGAAAACCAGTTATAAAAGTATTTATTAGATAAATCCATTTTAAATAGATAAATTAAGGAAAGTTATCTAAATATTCCTTTTACTTTTTAAAATAGTTCATTTATTACACAAGTCAAATACTATCCATACTTATTACCTATCAGTAGTGAGCAGACTCGTTTCATTCAAGACACAAAGATGGCAGATCTGCTTCCCAAGCAGAGCACATGTTAATAAGTGGAGGATTTTTTAACCTTCCCACCTATTTCTCAACTGTTATCCAGTTGATTAGAAGTCTATTAAAACAAATGAACAAACAAGAAAAATAACAAAACAAAAAAGCAAAACACCAGCAGAAGAAAATATTACATCTGCAAATGCTGAGCTGCCCTAAGCTACCTCACTGATTTAGCATATTCCACTTTCACATGTGATTGGCCAGTAACTGCTTCCAATTTAGTAATTAATTCAGACTTCATGATTTTGGATAGATTACTACTAAGTTAATCTTCACCTAGGTTGTTATTTGTATTCAAGTAACTTTAAATATGTAAATGGCTAATGGTAATCATTTAACTGATTTAGATTAAAAAAAAAAATTCTATTCAAGCTAATACTGCAGGCTTTATCATCAGAAATGCTTGTGCTTTCCCCAAAACATCAGCCTCTTTAGGCAGATTCGTGGTAGTGGTTCTGCACAGCAGCAGATCACAACACACACAGGAACAAGCACACGCACATCCACACAGCCAAGTCTCTTCCACTGCTCAGCTAAGGAGCTCCCTCTGCTGATAGAACCAACATGGCACCACTCAGGAAAAATCAATTCTCTCAAAACTGAAAATTCTGAAGCAGATTCCAATTATTTAAGACATTCTGAAGCAGATTCTATATGCTTCTGTTCAGCAAACACCACACACATACACAGTAGAAGTATTGGTTTCAAAAGCATGCAGGTTCAAGTTATTTTTATTGCTTTTTAAAAGAAACAAATGAGAAAATCTAAAAAGCATTTTAAATATTACATCCTTTCCTCCAAGCACATTACAATCAGCTAGGTGATTAAGATTCTTTACTTTGTAGAGTATAAATATAGCATGGAGGCACTACAAGATCCTACGAATACTGACTGCAGTGATAGAAACCACCACACACACCCACACACTACACAATCCACAGCAGGTTTCAGTCATACATACACATCAACAGAAACAAAYGCAACAGTTGTATATATTTTTTGAAACAAATATTTAATTCTCCCTGAGGTTATCTCTGTCTTCATGTTCACTCAACTGCTCAAAACTTGTTTAAAAATATTGGAAAACAAAACACGCACACCCCAAAAACCCAAACTGATTGGTATACAGTTGCAAACATACACTTTTTCATTCCTTCAAAATGTGCCAAATTGTTCTGATTCTGAACTGTAATATTATGAAATATTTCAACAGAATAGTTTTAAAGAATAATATCATATCAACTAAAGAGAGACTACGTAATAAAACATCTAGATTTTTAATCACTGACTGAAGCCCTTCCAGACAAAGGGACTATCCAAAGGACTTCTGCTTCCATCCTCACTAAGAGATGATGCTTTCCTGCATTCCTGATTTTGCACACACAGCAGCAGGACTCGATTTATAACCCTGAGAGCTGAAAATGCCAAAGTCACGCACTTCAGTAAAAAGAAAGAAAAGCTAACACATCGAAGATACTTAGAAGAATATTTTGATTAATCAAACAGAGTTGGCTTCAGTTTACACCACTGTTCCTTTAGCCTTGTTTTTACCACATTTGAAGCAAAAATATAGTCGATGGATTCATAGGAAAGATCCCACATCTGTGATCGAGTCAGATTAAATGTTTTTGCAGCCAGTTCATATTCCTGAGAGAGATCTGTTGCAAAGACGCCTTTATCATCAGTCTGGAGTTAAATTGAAAGAAAAAATAGTTTAGTTTTTCTGTATCAAAACAGGCATTTTTACATGTAACAAATCAGTTTTATATTATCGCATTTCACATTTTACTCCATACTTCTCTCATTTATTGATTTGTTGATTATTACTGCATACCATGTTTGCCATATTTTCCTCAAAATTAAATATATTGTTCAAACATAATAAGAGAAAACTTATTAAAGTTATAAGACAATCTGTCATGAAAATAATACTTTCTGTAAGGATAGGAAGTGTCTATTTTAGGCCATCTTCTGCCTCTAGAGTATCTGAGCAAGACTTACATCTACTTACACTCTTCAGAAACCCCTTCTATGGCTTTTATGCCATACATGCAATGATGCTTGCATGCAAGCTCCTTTTCCCATTCATCAGATTTCAGATCTGAATATATTCTGTATTCCCACATTTTTAGCAAAGAAACAGTTTTACCATCTGTATTTATACAGTATCAAGTGGAACCATATCTTGAAATTGACTGAAGTACCAGGCTAGTCTCTTAAGCACATCTGTCAGAAAGTAACCTCAAGATTTTTSATCTAAAATGGTCAAATCAACATTATTTAAGGGTTAACAAGATTTCTTATCTGCAATGAAGAGTTCTGTTGACCCTTGATGGAGAGGAACACCTGCTCCTTCTATCTTGATAAACTTAGGACATTTTAATAGCTCTCCCTCCTAATATTCCTGTTTTTATAGGTCTTTTTATGGATAAACAATTTCCTCAAATGAGTTAACTGTTTATCTTGACTTTCCACACTTGAGAGCATCTCAGAACAACATCTATTCATGGACTGTATTTCACCAGGCAAACATTACAGAGTTCAGACTCAATAATAAAAACAATAAAGACTGACACTTTTTTTTTTTTTTTTTAGTAAGTATCATGGTAACTCTATGCAACAATGCTAAAAATTGTAAGGGTTAAACCAACAGGATGGGAGGGTGCAAAAATCTGCAAATGCCAACAGAAGAACTTGGCATTCCCACATTTCAGAACTTTATGTAGCCATCCAGAGCACTCCCAAGAAAATTCACTCAAAACAGTAAATACTCTATGTAAGCACAAGTTTAAAAGTAGATGTTGGAACAGTATGTTTAAGCAAAATCTGCCCCTATGCAGATTACTTAACAAGCAGTTAAACACTTGACAAGTTCACAGCATACATATTTTCCATATAAATAACAATCAACTATGCCTTACAGTAAAAACAAGATAAGTATCAAGATTTTGTACCACAACTATTTCTCACAATGGAACATTATGATTTGCTATGAACAGATGGTTTGCTGTAAGGATAGAATTTATAAACAAAGTCAGTCCTGATCCATGTAAGGAGACACACTTCTCTGACTTCACAATAATTCTGGTTCTAGAACTATTGTTCAGTATGTTACAAATCAAAATTCTTACGCAAAGCACTGCAGGGTGACCTATGCTGTACCAGTATCCAAAATGGTGTTTGTCACAGGAAGGCACTGTCTGAGTTTTGATGTTTGATGTCATGCACAATTCTAAGAGAAAAAAAATGAACAATGACATACATTGAAATAAATATATATTTTTGACACATATTGACAGACTTTCTTTTGTTCATGAATGAAAATTCCAATCAATTGTTGTTTCTTTCCTTTTCAGTGCTTCTAATATTCTTTGAATGTTATGAGGAAAGTTCACTAGCCAATTCCTACCTCTTCTCTGCCTGCAGAATTTAGGGAGCCTGCAAACCAGACCCAAAACCCCAAACAGCTTGTACAGTAACTAAAGATTATGCTTTGCCTTTGATTCCATCTGAGACATCAGTTGTAGGCTTCTGCCACAAGTGTGACATGAGACATAACAAAGCTACAATATCAATGACTCTATCCTTTTGGTTACTTTGTCAATTTAACACCAATAACTAGTATTAGCATGAAAGAAGGACCATAATTAACACACATAAGTGAGGAGTACGTTCATAAAATACCTACTAAAGCCTACCAAAGGGAATTCACAAATCACTAAAAATACTCTGATAAAACTTATTTTACATAAGAAAAAACAGGAGCGTCAGCAGTACCCCTTTATCAGTAATGTTCTCACATACCCTTCAAAGTCAGTATCTTTCCAAGTCAGCTCTGGTCACAGCCAAATCTTTTTGAGTCACTAGATCACAGCTAAGTATGATATTCTTAAGTCTAGAGACCATCAAATAATTTTCTAATCTTATTTTTCTTACCAATAGGTATGTGATTCTGTCTAACAAGTGGCACTAATTCCTCTGACCCTATTGTTGCAGAGTTGAGAAATGTTCCGTGTCCAATTCTGTCAGGAGGCAGGCCAAGAAGAATTTTGGTCTCCTCTTCTTGATTTGGAATCTAGAAAGGATATTTTGCATTCTGTCAGAGTAGCACAAAATAGTACAGTAATAAATTACATCTGAATTCAAGTTCAACTTTTATAGCATGCTTCACCAAAAAAGAAGTGTTAATGAGACTAAGTATCTACATAACTACCCTCTAGAGAGAGTAGTGGGGCATTAAAGTGACTGAAAATTGAATTATGAAACAGAAAAGCCATAATCCTAAAAGTGTACGTAAAAGAAACAATAGCTATTTGCACTTCTAAAGTACTTTTAATTGCAGGCTGTCAAATCAGCTCTAGCCTCAACTGCAGAGAATAAAGAAAACTTGTACCTCTGAAAGATGCAACGCCAGCTTAAGACCAGCCTTTTTTGCTTCCGAGAGGGGTTCCAAAAAATCTTGGCCACGTCCTGCCTTGAAGACAGAAATACATCATTATTCTACAGCTTATTTTTATGAAACTCCTCCAATTACATGATCATTAAGAGGTCTAGCAATATCAAATCATTTTTCTTTTCCCAATATTTCACTTTTGGGTGCAGTGAGTTAGTTTATGTTGTTATATGGGCATGGTTTAGTCAAACTGGCCAAAAGTCAGTAATTTGGACCATGTGCAAGCCAAGGAAGACTTAGCTGTTTTTAAACATCCCTACTTTTTTAACAACCAAGAGTATTTAGTGCTTCTAAACAGAATTTAATACTGAAAGTTGACACTTGTTTATTTAACCCCGTCAGTCTGATTGTGACAATTTAGTYACAGACACTTCTCACATAAATACTGCTTTTCGGCAGCTCTCTTCGGAGTATCACACAACAAGCAACCAATTCTTTGTTAGAGAACCTGCTCCCTACAGCAGCAGGGATAAACCTGGTAGCAAGAATACAAGCAATCTATTCAAACCACCAACAAATGTAGGACAAAATCACTTTAAAAAGTATGATTGAATCTGTTATTAGACAACATTAGCACTTACCTTAAAGGTCAGATCAAAACAGAACAAGAACTTACGGTGGGATCACCGCTGAGGTCAAGTCCTACTACAACCCCATCGGTGGAAAGCAGGAACTCTTCAGCAAGTTTAACAGTCTCTTTAGCAACTGCAGGGCCACCTCTTCTATTTATTGCTATTAGCAATCTAGGAGATAAATGTCCCTGTTAAGTTTACCACAAACTGTAATAAGAGGAGACCAACTAATGAGATACTAAAAAAAGTATTTCTATAGGTAACTGTTCAAGCAGTGGAGGAACTGAAATACACAGGGACAACAACTACACGACCATGTGCAAGCTTAGAGCAGAAAAGTTTCACCCAGTTTCATTCTCCATCAGTGAAAAGAAAGATAAAAAGATTTTTTTTAAAAAAAGTCTCCTTATGAATTATCTGACTTATATAGAAGATAATAAGCATTAGTCTATAATATAGCATAAAAAGCATTAGTCAAATGGTAAGTCCAGTAAAAAGTCCAGTAAAAAAAATAGAAATCAGTAACCTTCCTAAGTAAATAATTTTCTTTCCTTCATGATGGTTCAAACACCTCTCTGCAAACCATGATGAAACATCAGACCCGAGAAAACCATGAAACAGAGGCACTGTGTGTACTACTTACCTTACATCTATATCCAAGCCTTCTTCTTTACACTGTTTTATTCCCTCAAGCACAGTCTCAACATACATCCTTTTGGTCATACCTCCAAAACACATGAAAATTCTTTTGAAACAACGTATTTGAATTAACATAATTCAGGCAAGTTGCAATAAGACCCAGCTCTCTAGCCTCACTGTTTCATTCTGCACCCTTGGTATTGCTCCATGGTTTTCTAATTTACACAGTTCTGCTTCTATTTAAAAAATAAACAGATTTATTTTTGATCATTTGAAACAGATGTCCTGCTGAGCATTTGGAAGAMGGAAATTAATTCTGTATGAACCAGAGATTTACAGTAGCTCCTTCTCTGGTGCAGTTATATTAAACTACACATAAAGGAAAACAAAAATGAAGTAACTAGAAGTAAAAATAATCTAAAAAACAAAAGTAAAAATAAGTCAAATAGGAAACTAGTATGTGTGTACTGTTCTGATTCCATAATCCAAGAATTTGGGGCATTCACTTGAGAAGGATATCTGGCTCTGCTTTTTTTAATGGCTATTAGATTTGGGGTGGGACATGTTTTCATACTGCTGTTACTTTCACACCCCTGCTTTCATATTTAAAGTATATTTTCACCGAAACATCTGAATTTGACTTGTTACTAACACAAATTTAGTTAAGTTTTATAGTACAATCAGATCTAAACTTAAAAATTAGAACACATTGTACCTGTGGCCTTTTCTTCTCTAGGAGTGCTCCTCAATTCCAAATACTTGACACCATCATCAGCAAATTCTTTAATAACATCTTTAGTTATCTGATGAAAAAATGGTATTTTCAACATGATAAATAATGCTTATAATTGGCTAAATTCTCTTTGGCAACTTAAAAGGAAAAAAGTGACACTTTGGTGCATAACCAATTATATATACAAAACAGATATTACAAATATAAATTATATGAATTATARYATTATATATTATATAATCTTTATTTTATGTATTTAACATATTGTATATGTAGAATTTTCAGGTCCCCCATGTTTCCATCACTCTCCACCTCTGGCAATACCACCCACAGAGGGTAGTTTCAGCTATCTCAGCAATACTGGAAGGACAAACAACAATTTCTGTCTGAACAAGAAAATCCCTTTCACAGCTATCCCTTTCACAGCTATCTACTGTGTGGAAAGCTCAACAGGTCATTTAAAAGACCTTTTATAGAAGGAAAGATAAGATTTTTTCTTTTAATCTTATTTTTATTACACAAGTCCCTTCTTGTTTGTTTTGTAATCTATAGATTAAAAAAAAAAAAAGAAAAAAGGCAATTCCAGTTCACTAGTCTTGACAAGCCAGAGAAGAACCTGGAGACTACTTTAAATCAAAGATCTGGTGACTATAAATAGAGACTTTTAAAGTCATTATCAGTTCAAGCATCTGAGAGCTCAGAACTAGCACTGTACTGAAGGTTCAGTGCAAGAAGTAAGGGGAAAAAAGCAAAGGAGGAGAAAGAAAAAAGGAGAAACACTAAACCCCATATTTCTAGACTTTCATGTTCTACAATACTAATTTTCATTTCCAATTGAAGGGACCACTGGCTATCATTACTCAGAACCTGATGTTGTTAAACTCATTTTGTCTTTACATAATGCTAACRCTATATTCAAAAAGGAAAGGCAAGTATTTTTGTTCCTTTTAAGCCATTTTGACTAACTTACCAGTAAAATATCTTCAGTTCTAGTGGTAAYCTGATAGATCATCTGAAACATTTGAAAACATCTAAACGAAAACATGAACAAATCAACTCAATAAAAGCTGAATGGCAAAATGAGTATTCCCCAAAATGTGTGTACYTAGAAAACAAGTATTCACTATGCTAAATTAACCAGCTTTGCTATTACTTAAARCACATCAACTTATTGGATAAGCAAGACCACCTTGACAGCCATCTCTCATTTTAGGTGTTAATAATTCATTCGCAACAGAAATAATTACATTATCCACAACGGATACCCSCTTTCTAATGGCAAAGGGAAACATCAAATTCCCCAAACAAGGAAACCATGTGCATCAACTTTCTCTAACATGCCTATACTACAAATGAAGCTCTTCTGGCCTTTAAAAAATAAATTACATTCAGTCCACGTGACATTTTCACTTAATTTACATGTTTAGGAAGTGGCTTATAGGGACGAGAAGCAAGAGTCAATCCCACAAGATTGAGGTCACAGCAGAGCCAGGGCAGGACGGAGCATTTCTCTGCTTTAACCTGGTCRGAGGAGGCTGGCGGCCGCCTCTCGCGTGCACACGTGTGCCCACTCACTCGTCCAGGGTCCGCTTGTGCCCCTTGTCAATCACGGTCATCCCGTTGTGGATCTGCAGGCCCGGCTTCTGCGCCATCAGCTTCTTCATGGTGGCCGAGCTGATGCAGCCGTTGAGATGCGCGTGCAGTTCCTGCAATAGAGGCAGCCGCCGTTTCTCCCCTCAGCGCACACTGTTCCTACCTCCCGTGCGTGCAACGGTCCTTGCAGCCCGCATTACCGTTTGACCTTAGTAACGGGATTATCCCCGGGACGGGCCAACAGCGACCACTTCCTCACGCATCCCCACAACAGTGACCGCTTCCTCACGCTTCCCCACAACAGCGACCRCTTCCTCACGCTTCCCCACGCCGCGCGGCGGGACAGGGCGGGATGCGGGAGCGCTCGGGCAGACCTCGCCTCGGCCCCTCACATGCTTCCCAACAGCAGCGTTTCAGCCGCTCCCGCCGCTCCACACCCAACTCGCGGCAGCCACGCGGCCCCGGCTCCCCGCGGCGCCGGTAGCGGCTGCGGGCAGCGCGAAGGCGGCCGCGGGGGACGAGAGTCCCCGGCCGAGGGTGGCGGCGGTTGCCCCGCGGCTCCAGGGCGGCCTCACGGGGCGCTGCCGGGTGCGCTGCTCTCCCGCCCCGGCCGCCCGCGCCGCTCACCACTTTGGGCAGCTCTCGGTAGAAGCGCAGCTCGCGCCGCCGCTCCGCGCCCGCCGCCGCCATGACGGCACCTGAGGCGCGGGGCGGGCGGCAGGGCGGTGACAYGGCGGGAGGGCGGCGACATGGCGGCGGGCCCGCCCCCCGGCCGTTAACCGCCCTCCTCTACCGTTGGCCGCACCGGCACCCGGGAGCRCCCACGGTGCTACCCCAAAGGCGGCGAGCTCAGAAAACACTCCATTTACCAYTCCATAAACGCTCCAGTGTCTAGTTTATTCAAGTCACGCCACTCGGTGTCACCGCGCCTCGGCGCTGCACACGCCGCGGGGCCAGTCYAGCCGGGTGTGAGGACAGTGGAGGCTCTTCCCGCACACTGCTGCGTGGCCGTGAGGAGACACCTGCTTACAAAGCCTGCAGTGGATAAACCCGCTGATTCCCTATCAGACYTCTCCTTCAAAATCCACTTCCAGGTCTGCTAGCACGAGAAGCACAAACAGATTTCACGAGTATGCTGCTCAAAGCCAACCAGCATGCAGACACCATGGAATGATCCTAAACTCTATTTTCATTATTTCATATTTAGCTTTGAGTGTTACTAATTCTAAAACCCCTCCACACACTTAAGTCACTAGGCAAATTTAGATCTTGCTATCTCCAGAAAGCCAGTAACATATTTAAGATCATAAAACATGGCAATCTACATACTGCTAAGGTAGCTCAGGCTTAGGCCAACAAATTATCCTGCAAACATGGAAACAATATATTGTTGGTATACTTAGTTTGGTARTTAAATATATAAACATGAAATAAACATTATCAACTTAGTTCACATCTCCTCTCATGCTCAACAGATTATCAACTGCAAGAACAGAGTGGAATTCTATTAGCTGTTAAACTGTTTTTTTTTTCCATAGAAAACCAGCGTGTCCGTAAACAAAAACAAATGAATTACAATTGCCTCAGTGATCAACTCCTTTATTTTACCTTACTTAAAGGCAAGCTAAGTACAGATACTGTACATTAAAATGTATGCACAAAGAACAGTCGTTCTTCATTCTACATCAAAGGCTCAATTTTTACATTCTTTTATTTATGTGCCCTTCCAAATAATTACCTCTCTCTGAAATATATTGCCTATATATTTAAATATAGAGAGAGCCGTCYGCAGGTCCCACATAGCCGACCCCAATGAGCAGCACATCAATGAGTGTCCATATGCCAAGTCCACCAAAGCTGAAGAGTTTTCCCAGGCCTTCCCGCCACTGGCCCAAATAGAAACGATCTGCTCCAAATCCGCCAAGGGTAATGCTACAAGAATGGAAACGTCATTATTTACTTCTCAATTAACTCAGATTAGGTATCCATATTGGTTTCTTTTTGATATAGCTACAAGCTGATGATGGTTTTCCAATATAACACACAAGAAGGCATAAAGATTTTGCAATTACCAAGTCAGATGCTTTTTTTAAAGTAATTAGCAAATTCTTGATAAAAAAAAAAACCCATAGTGTTACTTGGAGACTTCATAATTTTTCATTAATAAAAACAGATTTWAAAAAAAGTCTTTGCCACTTCACAAATTGGTTTTTCAACTTTTCTAGTCTGATAGAAAATGAGGAGGGAAAAAAAAACATTATAGCACAGTTATTCAATCCCATGCAGTAATAATGCACTGATAAATTTCTCCAGCTGGTGCAAAAGTGAACTTTCTTAATCAGTCTTATTACTACCTCTTTAGTTCAGATTAAATTATACCTAATTTACAGTTACTACCTAATTTATCATATTAACCACTTTATTAATAAAAAAAGTATTTGGGGACAAGTTCAGTTATCTTCTAATCACTACTGTACCTTTCTAATGGCTTAATATGTCAAAATTAACCAGTTTATTTCAATACTGCCATATTAGACTTTTCCAAAAGACATCAAAGCACAAGAAATTTCTCTTTTGAGGCATTTCTAGCTGTTCTAGCTGGAAGAGAAGCCTTAAAAATATCCAAGCCTGCTCTAGCCAGCTCAGTGACTTCTGTTAAGTTCGGAACATCCACATTAATTTCAGATGCCAACAAACAGTTTGTATTATTTTCAGCAACATATAAAAAAGGGGAGCAGAAGTTGAGCATCTGCATCTTATTTGACATCACAGTAAAATGCACATCCTTCATACTTAGAAAAATGATGAGTTTGTGAAGCCCAAGATTCACTGACACTTATTCCGAAGAAAGTACCCTAGTTGCAGAAATAAGATAGAAATTTTCTTTCAAATTCTACTTATAAGACAAATCAATTTATCTTCAGTATATTTTTATATGAAGTCTTAAGGCATCATTTGGGTCTAAATTCTAAGTCATACAAATACAAATCCCCACAAAAAAAAACCAGGGATTAATCTTTTCAGTTAAGAAAAACCCTATAAGCAGAAAAACACACAGAATTAAGATCTAGTTAATATGATATTTACAATAATATGTAACTTAGACTGAAGTTCTCTAATAGCTTTTGTATACCTCAGTGCCAAGGCTGTAGACCATTTATAGCCTCCAGTCCAGTTGCAGTAGAGCATCTTAGGAAAGACGCGATTACCTAAACATCAAAACACATTCAAACCTTAATAGAACAGACAAAAGGGTCAGAAAATTAAATATGACGCAAAATGAACCATATTTCTCTAACAAGAGACTAAAATGCTTGACATTCTTTGAACCAAGTGTGATCAGAACGACACTCACACATGCATAAAAAAACCCATGTATTGTTTATTGCCCTCTTAATCTTTGTCTCATACCAGAAAAAAGCAAAATAGTTGAAAAAAAGAGGGGGAAAAATTACTCACAAATTATATTATGACTCACTACCAAAAGTTAAGAAATTCTTTAGGAAATGCGTTGCTTTACCAAATYTATTTTACCCCGCCTTACCTAGACAGTGAATATGATCCCGGACAGTACACGTGGCGTTGTATCGYTGTCGCGGGCAGGACACCGTCATGCAGTTTGTGGAATTGGTGCACACATAATCCGTGGTCGGAAGCTGCCAGCAAAACTGGCAGGTCATGTTAACTGTAAAGTTCTCCTGCTCATTGTTGTTCTGATCCTACAAAAGGAGAGTATTATCCTCCTTAATAAAGAAGAGTCTCCCAGCATACAGTATCAAAACACAGACACAAATCAGACAGAAGGTTTGAGGAAAGCAAGACTTAATTCTGTGTTTGCAATGTCTATGTAATCAAGTGTAAAAGAAAGTCAACAGCACAAAACTGATAAGAACAGTCATTCAAGGCCAGTTTAATATTGCTGCTTAGTCAAATTTAATTTAAAGTTATGGCCAAAAGAAGCAGCCTCAAATTACATTTTTTCTCCCCAATATATCATCAATTTGGTCATCTGACAGGCATTTAGACCTACACATTTTTCATTAATCAACAAACTGATTTAACTCCATGTGGTTTTGCTGCTGTGTGATAAAAAGATTCATGCAAAGTGGGGCAAAGAAGTGTAGCTCTGTCCCTTCCTGTAAGAGCCTATAGTTAAATCAGATTAAATATGTACAATCTGCAAATATGCCTACGTAAGAAATTCGATGTTCATTTTCAAAATTTGATGACCAGATACCAAGCCTCCATCAAAAAGACTTAACCCAGGYTACTTACAACACAATGAACATACGGCTTGACTTTGCAGTCAAAAGTGGCTGGCTTCCCATACACACAGGAATAGTTTGTGTTGCAGGTCATGCAGTCTGGGGGCAACCTACTGCACAGCCCATTGCTGGGGCATTTAGTCACGTAGGGCGGCATTTCGGTGGGATCTGAAAAACGAAGCAAATCAAGTAAATAAATATCTACAGGATATGGGGCCAGCGCCACCACCCAGCACAGCGCGCAGCCACCTCACCAGGGTCCTCTGCAGGGCTAATCAGCTTTGCTGCACAAACAGACCCACACCAACCTCCGCACGCCCCAGCGCTAGGTCAGTAAGGGCCGGCTCAGACATCCGCTGCTCACACGTGTTCAGCATCACCTCTTTTCAGCCGTCAGCAAGAGGGATATTTCGGGCGAGTCTCATACATCCCAGCGAGCTACAGAAGCTGTGCTTATGTTGGATATAAACTGGTGGCAACTTCTTGCAGGACTTTAACTAGAGCCTTTCCGGAGCTCCAAGCATCTGGAGAGGGTGCTGAACACGGGAGCCGTGATCCCTGTTTAAAAGGTCATTTCCTATCTGTTAGATCCTATATGGAAAGCCTAATTACATAATCCTGACTGGCTGTTTAAGGTCATTTAAAAGCCATTCTAACTGCAGAATGTCTTTTACAACTGTGAGAAGTATAGAGMGCCTTACACAACCCAAGAACTTCACCAATAAACTAAAACTTTGAGGAAAACAGTCCCACAGAAGAACACCAGAAGAAACAACAGAAGTGACAATTGTACCTGCTGCTTTAAAATAGGGAGCACTGGTACTAGTTGAGGTCAGACTTTTTTCAAGCATAGACTGGGTCTGCGAGTGCTTGGTGGTCATCAGAGATCCAGCTGCAAGGGGAGAAAAAAGGCGGTGGTGAAATTTCCAGGAGAAAACTGCTCTTCAAACGCAGTTCGATTCCAGCATCCTCCTAGGAAATTATGGGTGAAAAGTGCGACGAGGATGCRAGAGTCGCTATGAAAACCTGCTTGGAGACAGGAGCCGCTCACACACACCGGGCTGCTGGGAGGCTGCGCCTCAGGCCAGGGCCGCTCCCGGCGGATGAGGCGGCGTTTTCGCCGCCGCGCGGCCCCGTCCGCGGCCCCAGCGGTAGCGGGGAGGGCGCGGGGGGCCGCCCGC